ACCCTATTTAATTCCTTATATTAAATAGGGGAACTTGTCGGCCAACAAGGTGGTTTCGCAGACCAAACGGATGTCATAACTTTCTTTAGTTTATTTGATCGAGCCTCACCCTCAACTCTTATGTTCATCTTTTGGGATAGGTACATGATTTGAGGTAAAACGCTCTTTCATCTAAACTATGAAAATTATGGGGTCAGTTTGACTTCATCTTTTTCAAAACTAAAATTTTTTAAAAAACGTCCTTCCGAAGCGGGCAATGGTATTTCAATCCCTATGACCGACAACTTCTTACGGGCAAACCCCACACCAAAAATAGTGTCGACAGGGCCAAACCCCATGATTTTTTTTTTCCTTTACGGGTTTTCCACGTAAAAACTTATTATGTCATCACAATTTAATTCATTTTCATCCTAGTGTGTGGGAATCATCGTGTAATGCTAAGACGATAATCCATTACTCTACCACCATAAATTTTCTAACCGGCATCAAAAACTTTTTCCTAGCCTATTATTTTTTTCCTTCCGTAAAAAAGAAGAAAAAAAAACTCAAAATGGCAATTTTAATATGTACGGCGTTGGATTCTTGGAATTGATAGAGGAAATATATTATTTTGTATTTGAAACCATTACATGCTTTTAGGTGCCAAGGAATGGAATTAAATAATAAAATTTTATGAAATGCGTTAGAGCTTTTTCCATATATGTACATTGGAATTTGATTTCCAACGTCGGTCTGCAGAAAAAGTAAATACATATTATAATTAATAATAAAAATAATAATAACCAAAACTTCCTTGTTACATGCACGTTGGAAATTTATGACTAGATTTTAGGATTTAAATAATTTTAAAAAAAAAAACCTTACCCATGGAAAGAGAAAGGGTAAAATCATATAACGCATAAAAATATGTAATCCATCATTTAAATTTCAATTTTATGATAACTTTTGGAAGTTAAAAAAACTATAATATATATATATATATATTATATGCACACATATTCATATAATAATATATGTTCAAGCAATTCAAACATGAAAATTATAGTACCGTAAAACGACATGTTTTGAGAGATTATATTTATATTAAAATAAATTTAAATTCCGAAGAAAAATAAAGAATTTTGGATGAATAGTAAATTCTTCAGATGAATTGTAACTCAAGAAATGGATAAAAGAATTTACAAATATAAAATTATAAAATAATATTTTAAAAAAAATATAAGGGATCTAATATGTTGCCGAACATATTATAATTAAATTTACTTATTTAAATATATAAAAAATATGTTTTTTTTGTTTTAACAATTATTTTTAGTTAAAAAAAGTTATAATTCTAGTTTAGTTTTATCAATATAATCAATAAAGTTATAAAGTGTGATTTTTGAGCTGGTTATAATTATCTCGAGCTTCAAAATTTTTTCAGAGTCAATCATCTGGTCCTAAAATTTCTCCATAAGAAAATATTAGATCTATCAATCATGATTTTATTATCACCAAAATTATGGAGTCAACACTCTTCTAACCATTACAACACACAAACAGTTGCCAATAACCCAACTAGGCATCTCAAACATATTTCCTCATGACAATCTAAATTGAGTAGCTCTCATGAGCCAACCTCCTGGCTTCCAAGACCATTCTAAGGCAATCACGTTTGTCTCCATAAAAAAAAAAAAAGAAAAAAAAAAAAACTCTCTACAAACTCAAACAGTCCCCTATAAAAAAGTAGAACACACTCACCACCACACTAGAGGCACTCAACATCAAATAAAACACAACTGACCCCTCCCTTATGATCTCCCGATCCAAAAACTTACATCCTTATCTATGTTGATGATATCCTGATCTCCAGGAATGATCCCACCACCATCTCAAAAATCAACACACAACTCGAAAGCTCATTCACAACCAAAAACATCAAACACTTTGACAACTTTCTAGGTATCAAGTTAACAAAGGCATCCACCTCAACTAATCCACATACACATAAAATGTACTCAAAACAAAATAGGCATGAACTCATGTAAACCCCTTCAAACACCAACAACTCACAATCTGCACTGACCCCCAATCCTGTCCTTACCCAAAATTATACTGACACATCGTCGACTCCCTACAATACCTCAACATGCCCAAATATCACAGTCGTAGTAAACAAACTCTGTCAAAGCCTTCTAAACCTTCAACAAGATTACACCACTAACCTCAACGACTACTCTGATACATAAAAGGAACCATAACAATGGGCTTACCATCATCCCCTCCAACTTCAACTTCCATGCTTACTCAAACTCCTGTTGAGCAGGGAACACCTCCAATAGAAAATCAACAACTGGCTATTGCATCTTTCTAAAAAAAAAACCCCCTTCTCCTTGTGCACGAAAAAAACAAACAATAATCATAAAATCCTCCACGGAGACAAAATATTGAGTACTCTCCACCACAACAGTTGAAATCATGTTGCTTCCAAAATTTTCAATACTTTGCATACCAACCCCTCACCCACCCCCTTTATTGTAAAAATGTTTAAACCTCAGCCCTTGATAACAATCTCATCTTTCACTCCATGACAAAGCACATCGAAATAGATTTTCAATTCATCTACAAGCGGATCAAAGATCAAGCCGTCATCGTTCATCACATCTCCTCCCCCAACCAAATCACCGACATTTTTCACCAAGCCATTGCTCATTTGCCATTTCTTGTATGCCACTTCCAAGATATTTAAAACAAGCTAACTCTCCACCTCAGAAGCGTCAAACGATATAGACACACTTCACGATATTACAACAAAGCAATTCCAATCCTCACATCAGAAGAAGAGAACACTCGAGACGTCAAAATACATCCACTTCAAGATCAACCATTGGTTCACAAGCATACACTACAAATCAAATGTATAGGCACCCATAAATATGTGCATACACACTATGAAGAGTTATAAAATGAACTCTTTCATGCATCCGGGAAATATTCTCTGAACCTCATCTTCTATAACTACTTACTTCCCCAAATACCAATGATTTGTTTTCACATTCCTACTGGACTCCCAAAATGAACAGTAACTGAGGAAAAAGAACCAAACCCATTTCGGTACAACAAAATTAAGTTCGGAGAGCAAACAGGCTAAGCCGTTGAAGGTCACACTTAACGCTAGCGAGCGCTAAGCGCAATCTTAATCCTGCGACGAGAGGAGGACGAGCTCGGCCATCCTATGCGATAGTTGTTCCAAGGTCTGTAAAACCGTAGGGCGAAAAAATGACGGTAGGAGCGGGATTGGCGTGCAGGTCTTGCCTTGCATCTGCTGTGCCGTCTCTCCACTCGGGTGCTGCTGGCGTTCGATGCTCCTCTGCCTCTTATCCTTCTACTACCTCAGTCTCCACGTACACCTTCATCGGTAACTCCTATCTTTCCCGGTTTCACCATTTTTTTTCTCCTCTTCTCCAGCAATCCTTTGTGGTTGTTAGTTTTATCCTATGGACGATAATCTCTAGATTCTAGCTTTCTTTGAGGCATTTGTTCGACTTCTTATAATATGTTATGCTCAGTGTGTAATTTTTAAATTTAGATCGTGTCTGAACAGAAATTGATTCCTTTTCATGAATACGGAGCTCTCCTATGACAAATGCTTTTGTTAGTTTGTTTCGATAACTATGGGGGGGAGTTTTAATGTTCTTACTTTTTTTCCCGGAACTCCATTACTTATTAGCCGTGATGTCTTTCTTGTTATCCTAGCATTACTATTCTGTTTCCTCATCGTTCTTGAGGAGTTGTCGGAAAGATTTAGGTCGTCGTTTTATGCACTTTTTTTTTTAATTATTTCGGTGATGCATGATTTTGGGGGCATCTTGTAGTAGATAAAATCAAATTGTTGATATTTTTTAGCTTACAATAGTTGATGTTTGGGATACGCAGACCATATATCTTTCATTAGAGATGTAGCTGTTGCGAACCCTCCAGAACGTCTCCATTGTTTGCTGAACATGCTCCAAGCACGAGGTAAAGCCTAAGTTATTGCATTGCCTGCTACTTTGTTTGGTTGACTATTTTTTTTCCGCTCTTAGTTAATTTCTTAATACGATAGTTTAAGCAGGATGAAATGATTTTGTTTAAAGAGTAGCACCATATCCTAATGGCATTATTTTGCTTCAGTGATTGCATCCATTGGCCTTCAAAAACCTTTCACCTAAGAATTCAAGCTCTTTCCTTTAATAGGGCGATTGAGGTTTCGTAGATATAGTGCTTACAGCATGAGCCAAGATATGTATTCATGACACCATTCAAGATTTGTAATCATCAAATTAATAATGAGCTAACAGGAGGTACATGTGCTCATGGGATCAATACTTGGGTCCTTTGAGTCGATCAGCTATGCTCCCACTATGCTTGATTAAAGTTCTTAATATAATAGAGGATAAAGGAATAATAAATATATAACCTATAAGTTCAAATAGGTAGCCATCCCTAATGACATGATAAATGAAACTAATGTTACTACCTGATTGGTACTATCTTTATTTTAATTTAAGCTCGAGGATTTGGACTACAATTGTTAGAATAGAGAAAACTCTGCTGAGAAATTCAACGTGTGTGTGTGTGTGTTTCAATTCCAATGTGACATCATGATTAAATTGCACTCTTGAAAAAAACTCAAGCTGTTTAACACGCTTAGTAATTCCTAGGCTTGAAAAAAACTCAAGCTGCGTAACACGCTTATTTCACAGCCTTGAATCCACAATTTTGGTTCTGGTTGGTCCTTTATTCATTTTCAAGAAAGGGGAAAAAAAAGAAAGCACATGAACTCCTCCATCAACTTTTGGTTGAGTACCATTCCCTTTGATCTCTGGAGTGGAGATCTACGGTGCATACCCTTAAAAACAACATGCACAAGCCCTTGAAGGTGCAAATATTCTCATTTTGTTTTTTTCTTATCAATAATTCCTAGGCTACCCTTTTTATTTTTTTTTCTAATTTGTTATTTGTTGAGGAATATTTACTATAATAAGTTAGACAAGGAATTCATGAGTAAGTTATAGTTTATCATGTTTGGTTCTTTTCTAATTTCTTTTATTTCATATGTCCATTTCAACTGGAATTTAGAATGAGTATTCTGAGGAGTATTTTTTTCATTTATAATTTATTTTATATTTTTTCCAAGGGTGTTTATCTCATATTTTTACACCATTTGTTTGTATTAATTTATAAATTATTTTACCTTTTTATATTTTATTTATTTTTAATAGTCTTGTAATGCCTAGTTTGAGTTGCCCGGGTGAAGAAACGAAGAATCGAAGGAGAGGAAATGATGAGTCGGAAGCCGAAGAAGTAAAAGTGAGGAACGGGAAATTGAACAGAGTGGGAGAGGAAGCGAATGGAGGTCAAGAAGTGAATTCTACTGTATAACTCACAGACCGACTTATTTGGGAGTCGAGCAGTGTGCAAAGGAGAGGAGGATGATGTGAGGATTAAGGCAGAGGCGACGTCTCTGTCACGCTAAGGAAGAAGAGGCATCAGTCGAGTAGTGGAGCAAGGAAAGGAGGCGCCGACGGCTGGTGCGGAAGGGAGGCAATCGAAGGAAATTACGTGGAGAAGAATAGCGACGACTCAAATGCGATTCCTTCGATAGAAAGAGGTAGGGTTTAATAATAAAAATTAATAATAATAATAATAATAATAGTAAGACGTGTGTGCGTGTTGAATAGAAATTAAACAGGATTACATAAAGTAAATTTAATACTTAAATAATGAAAACTAATAGTTTATTAAAATAATAAATTAATTAAATTTTATACCATATTTATTTTAGGCTTTCAATTCTAGTAGAATTGATGTCAAAACAAATCAAATAACATATTAATCGTCGAGATGAGTACTCATACTTTTAATCTATACTAATAATTTATTTTTTCCCAAATATTTTACACTTAATGATACTTGCACATACATTATTCTGATTGAGATATCATTTTCTTTATCGATGATGTTGTTATAAATGTTTGTAGTTATTTACTATCATGCATTGGTGTATTATAATATATTGAATTGAATACGATGAACATATGAATGATATATTTATGTTGACTGCTTGATTATGCATGACTGATTATGATGGACTCACCCTGTTATGCTACTAGTGAGGGGAATACTAAGATACTCATGAACGTATATGAATAATGATATTGATATTATAATACTTTAATTGATACAAATTTTTAAATGGTGCTCCTGTGACGGCTGTACATATATAAAATGATATTTATATAGTAAAATTCATTGAATAACATATTAATTGATTATATTGATTTATTAAAAAGCTTAACTGATATGCATATTGTTTTTCTTTTCCCTTGCATTACTGTGGTTTAGGAGTACGAGTATTCACGAGCTTGTTTAGCTTTCGATTATTTTTAAACTAACTTTTCGGGTTTATTTAATTGATTAAATGATGAACTATAGAATAAAATATGTTTATAGAAGACGTGGACAATCAATAATGTGGTAAAATTAATTTTACCGTTTTAATTTGATTTGATCAGTGACTCTTTCATTTATTAAATTATAAATAAATATGAAAAAATTAATTCTCACTATACTACCGTCTGGCCTTGTCTTGATTAATTTCAAACCCCAAGCTAAATCGTGACAAATCTTGTTTTATTTATAAAGTTTTATAATGGATTGTTTCTGGGACTTCTAATATTTTAGGGCTTGATCTTGCTTTGTGAAAAGGTAGAATGTCTAGCCGTACTTTTGTGTTCTAAAATTTTGCTTTAATTAACATTGTCAAGGAGGGCATATTTTGGATTGCTTTCCTATTCCTAAAACATGGGCGCATGGTTATTCTATTCCTTACTATTTATAAAGCTTTCGAGCTTCTTTGTGGTCACTTTTGTTTTTTATTTTTTATTTTTGTTTTTCTTTTTATTTTCAAACATTTTTGTTTAATGTCCTTTTTTTCATGCTTTTATTTTTTATTTTCAAAATTTAATGAACTTGTTTTTCAAAAGCATTCAAAACACATAAAAATTTATTTATGTTCTTTTAAAAACAACTATGTTATAACATATCAAACATATGGGCAGCTCATTTTTGTGCTCAACTTGCCTTACAAAATAGCTTTTTTGTTAAAGAATTACATGATAGTCATCCCTTGCTTTCTTTTGTTATAAGGGATAGGAATTTTGTTGGGGTTACTGCTTAGCAACCTTTTTCTTTTTGCCTTTTGGTGGCTCTTATGGAATCATTTTGTAACCCTTTATTTTTATGTTAATGCAACATGCACACCCTTCACGGTTGACCCAAAAAAAAAAAAACATGTTTTGTTTCAGGTAAAATCATAAACAAAACAATTTAAAAATAAATTAAAAAATAATCAAAAGTGAACACAAACAACCTCATAGTAACTTCACCGATTCATCTTAAATCCCATTTTTTCATGCTAATATTGATTAGAGACATGATGTAATCTGGTTCCTGAATAAATCTTCTATTCAAAGTGGTGAGTCCATGAAGTTCCTACCATTAAAACAAGTCTTTTGCTCAAACCTCTCTTTAATTTTTTGAGCCTTTGAAAGGTTTTGTTGAAATGCCATGCGACAAAACTACAAACTCAAAAAGGTCTTCACTAGCTGGATGAATTAATTCTCTTTAGATTAATTTACAATTCCACCATTATAGGGATTTAAATAATTAGAGATGTCCAATATCTATGCCATAAATCATGATATATTAAAGTAAATCTAAAATGTTGAAACTATCTAGGAAATTTTGTTGTTGTTATAAACTAGTCCTGTTAATATGGACCTTGGAAATTATTGTCAACATCTTAGATTCGATCCCCGACTACAGAATAATGAAATCCCATCTTAAGTCTTTTCGATAGGCTAAAAAAATTAAGGGCATTTTGTTGAACCCTCATAGTGTGCTAATTGAGTTAGAAGTCAGAGATCATGAGTAGCACTTGCATATGATTTAACATCACACACACCTCTTAAAGAAAAAAAATTATGAATAAGAAGGATTGAGAATGTCAACCTCGTTGTGGGAATTAAATTAATGCGGATGATGAAAGAGTAAGTATACAATCATATGGTACATCAATTTTAATAGTGCTATTTTTTACATCTCTAAGGCATAATACAAATATTATGACATAAGACATTTCTCATAAACTTCTATTAAAGATATAGAATGAAGATTGTCATTAAGCTAAGGAGTAAAGTGCCAAAATTGTCTCTAACTATTTACATGTGATCGTTTCACTCCCGAGTTTATAAAAGTGTCAAAATAGTCCCTATGACGGACTATTAGAGCTCAATTTTAAAATAGTTGGAGATTATTTTGGCATTTCTATAAATTCTGGGACTAAAATTACCCCATGTAAATAGCCGGGAACTATTTTAGCACTTTACTCTTAAGGTAAATTATGAAAGCTATATTTCTTTTAATAATGGTGCTATCTACACAATTGACTTTTGTTTATTTGAATAAGCTCTTCAGACAACTTTGTATGGTACAACGTTCTTATTCTTTCTAAAAATATGCAAATTTAAATTTAAATGAAAGTTAGAATAGAGAGAATCCTACCTGCTAAAAACTGTCTAGTAGGTGCTACTAATTAAATTCACTTGTACCTTATTTATTTCTCACGTAAAGCACAGAGGGTAGAAAAAGCTTTATTTAGTGCATGATCAAAAAACATTTTATGAACGGTTACTATGGATTTATTAAATAGATTTTGTTGCATCCTCTTAAGCTAAGCGTTGAAGAATATAATGATCATTTTAAATTTTATGAAATTAAGATTTCCATCATAATTCGTAGCATGTGGCATTTGTTTGTTAAATTTCATTAATCTGTTGAAGCTTATTTGTTAAGATTACAATCTCAGATGAGCCGGAACAATATGAACCAATTATTTTGCTTTATACAAATTGAATTTTATTTTATGTAACTTTCCAATACCATACTTGTTGGTGAATACATGATCCTTTTTTCAGTCATTATCAGACACTCTTCCTATGTTACAATTACTCAAATTATTGTGGTAATTGAGTGAAAGAATTTTAAAATTCTTCTTGTCTGATCGCTAACATACGATTATTCAAATTGGCATTGTTGGGATTAATCTTTCATATACCGCCAAACATCCTGTGCATTTTGTTAAGTTCCTTGATCGAAGTATAAATTCATTGTATTATATTAATCTTTTTTAATTAAAATATCATTATTGGTTTAAATTTGGTAGAAGGCTTTCTAATCTTTTCTTGAAGTGCAGATATCCAGGTCTCTACTATGAATTGTTTATACATTGAACCTTAAAAAGGCAATTCTGCAATCATTTTCAGGCATATGGTTTTCAAACCTTGTTTCTGATACTGAATGAAATAATGTGGAGATATTTTTGGGACTGGCCTACCACTGCATTTCAAATAGGGCCTTCAGTTCAGTAGTTCTCATTTTATGATTTTCTAATGGAGGCATGCATTACACATTTAAGATTTTTGCTGATATTTTAACTCTCGAAATTTAATTTTTCTTTTGGTAAAGGGATTCTTATAGATGATTTTGAATAAGTGGTTATAAATGTACATAGTTGAAGTCATTTTGTGTAGGTTTCTTCGGTTATAACTTATAACAGCATGATTTGTTCAAATTTGAAGTAGCTTACAACTGAGCACATAAGCAATGCTCAATGATAGTCTACGATAATTTTTTACCAATTTTTTGCAGGTGAAACTATAGTACCTCCAGGAGCGAAGGAAGGACTCATTCCCCTTGTTATTCCTCTATCAGAAAGCTTTTCAGGTTATCATAAATCCTTTATATTGAGTAAAGTTTGTGATTGAAAATTTCATTGTTAAATGCTTTTTTTCTTTTTCTTTTTCTTTGTTTTTGTGTAAAGTGATTTTTATCGAGAACATTTTGTTTTATTATGATGTAAGGTACTTTCACGTCCTTACTAAGGTGGCCAACATCTCCACCTGGGTAATTGCACACTTATCTTTGCACTTATTTTAAAGCTTTCTGTGGTAACTTATAGTTCACTCTTGATGCAAAAAAAACAAACAAATAAATAAAATCTGTTCACTCTTCTTATGCTCTATAGGATGGAGATGCCAGTTGTGGAAGTTCGAAAGCATGGGGTGTGGTACTTGGCAAAAAGTGTAAGATTAAGCAAACTAAAATTATATGTGTCATTGTTATGAATTTTCGAGACGATCTATTAAAGTGAACTACCAATTAATTCAAATAAAAAGGCATCAAGCAATAATGTCTATATGTTTAAGTCCAATCCCAGATGACGCCAGTCTTAGTTTGGTATTCTTTGTTATGTTGCCTTTTGCTGCACGAAAAAGCCATTTCTACTCACAAAGTGATGTTTGAGTTGATCTGTAATTTGCTCCCCATGATTGCAAAGTTGTTTAATCAAACCTTGTATGGATGGTAGTTGTGCACGCCAAATTTTTGTTGCACTTCAGAAAATATAGAATTCGTCGTTGAAGCCTTGTGCTTCTTGTGATACTTTTAAGCTATTTTTGTGTTTTCCTACGTTAAATAAAGTTATTGGTACTTTCAGGGAAATGGACAAACTACTTTTCAAGTGTGTTACCCATGGTTGTGCTAGCTAAGAAGGAGATCCACATGAATTGCAACTATTATCTAACATTTTCTAGATTATATTGGTTTTTCAAAAATGCATGCCAAGTAAACCTTTTGTTTAACTTTTATTTGTGTAGGAAAAAATTAAAGTATAAAAAATCCCTTGACTATTCAGAGTTTATAGAAGTGTTAAATTAGTTCTCAGATTATTTTAATTGGGCTAAAATAGTCCTCATTGAGGATTATTTTAACCCATATAAAAATAATCTGGGACTAAATGTATATCTTTATAAACTTTTGGACTAAGATGACACTATGCAAAGGTACCATTCTGAGACTTTTCTCTGTAGAAAAGTGTGTGCATTACTATACTACAAGCCACATTCTTCATGACTAAACTAGAGACAGTTTTACAATAGCTCGTACCTCTCGTTTTCTAATTTTGCATATTAAATGTCATACGAACATAGCATTATCAAATGAAGCCTCAGTGTGGATTGATAGCTTGTCCCTTTCTGCGAGAGTAGGTGTGCTTTCTTATTTTTCATATTAAATGAAATAAGCGCATAAATTATCAAATGAAGCTTTAGGATGGGTTGACAGGATATCTCAATTTCTTCCTTGCTTTAATTTTTTGAATTTTAAGATTTAGGGATATAGCTTTAAGATGCTAATAATGTTACTGCTGTATGCTACATAAAAATATATGGATTTTTCCAAATGTGAGGCTGGTGGTTCTATCCAAATAATAAAAAGTTCTTAATGGATGGTTTAGGATTAATTTTGCCTCCTTTGTTCCGAATTTTATGTGATTTAGATTATTATTTGAAAAGTATACATAATTGTAAAATTAGACTTTCATTGATGCTGAACTAGATACATGCATACGTAGTTGCTAGAATATTATCTCATGGTACTTGTTAAATTAACTATATCCAATGATTTTATTTATTTATTTATTTATTATTATTATTATAGTTTTTTTTTTTTTTGGCTTTTTCCAAATGTTATAGGTGGACCAATACATTCATAGAATGCTTGCTGAGGAAGATGCCAATGTCATCCAGGAAAACAAGTTTTCGGATGCTGCTGCCGTTCTTGGAAGAGAGTTATATAACAAAGGAGATCTTATATCATCTGGTATTACTGATATTGATAACTATCTGTTGAAGGTTTGTCACAAACTTTATGGATACTTCTACTTGATGAGATTAAGAGGGAGGAATTTATGCTTAACATCAACATCTTAGGTCGGTCTGTTTCCAGATGTGATAGAGCGGAAAGTGGCACGCCATTTGCAGAGAAAAGATTATGTAACACCTCAACCATTTAGTTATTTATACCCAGAAGATTATGTACTTATCCAGGTTTCATTCCAGTAACATTCTCATAGTTACAGCTTGTTTATTGTTAGGTTTCAGCACTGGTTACTGGGGAGTTCTACACAAGGAATCACTTTCCAGGATTTGGAAGGCCTTTTGTTTTCAATGCGGAGATTTTACTGAAGTTCATAGATATCTAAATCTCAAAACTTCTATCAAGACATCGCTTTTTGATATCTCAAGAAATAACCTTTAACTATGCTATTCGTTGTAGGGTAGGGCGCAAACATGAGGCCAAAGATGCAGCTCGGGGAGCCCTGAAACAGCCATGGTGGACACTGGGTTGTAGATATCAAGTATATATGAAATATTTCATCTAGTATTGATCCTGTTTAATTTAACTGATCTGATTTGCCACTATTTAATTTTGCAGGAAGTTGCTGAGATTGCACAGTGGGAAGATGAGCAGATTGAGTATATAAAAGAGAAGGTGACAGAGGAGGGCAAGAAGGAAGATCTGAAGAAGGGAAAAATGCCAGAACAGGTGGGATTAAATTGCATTTTATGAGATAAAGCTTCAGTTTTGAAAATCAAAATATGTTCCTCTTGTTTGATTTTCTAAATATCACTAGTACTGCAGGTGGCTCTTGATGAAGCTGCGTTTTTGTTAGATTTAGCCTCAATTGATGGAAGTTGGAATGAAGTTGTGGATCGTGTCTCTGAATGCTACTTGGAGGCTGGATTCTCTGATATTGCTAAGTTTGTAAAGTACAATAGGTGAAAATATTGTTTCTATTAGTAACTGATAATAGAATAGTCTTTTACAAGTTCAGAAAGTGAAAATATTGATTATATAATGATTCCTGAAATTTTGAGATAAATCCAGGCGGGCATTAGTTTTTAAAGTAGAATTGTGGAAACTTCAATTTGCAGAATAGCTGTAGCCATCAATCAGCATTATATAGCTTCTTTTGTTAGCATTTTAGAAAGTTCATCGGTTCAACTTGTGAATTCGTCATTATGCAAAATTTAGGGGCCTAGAGTTAAATTTAGATGTCCTTTCTTAGATTGGTCTGTAATTCTCATTTTTGTGTTGACCAACTTTTCTTGCAACTTTTGTTAGAAAATTTTGATGTTTTTGTATAGTGTTCAAATATGAAAGTCATGTTTGTATCTTTTTCTTCTTTTCTTAACATGTAAAAATTGAACTATTATCTGAAGAACTAAGGAATTTAGGATGGGTCTATCTCATTTGTTCTCCTTTTTTTTTCCTCTTAATAAGATATAATCATGCTTATGAGTTGTAAGAGAATATAAAGCATCTAGCTTTTATATTTCTTTTGTAAACACTTCCCTTACACTGAGCTAATTGGCGTATGCTAGTTTCAAATTTATGGGCATGCAAAGGAGCTTTTATTGCATCAGAACTTGCATCCGGTGTCCAATTAGAACTACCAATTAGAACTACCAAAATGAAAATGATTTTTTTTTTTTTTTGGAGTAGGACTCACTCTTTAATTTGGATGATTTTGATTGGACACCGAATGCAAAATTTGCGTCCGGTGTCTTGGTGTCCTGACGCAATAAAAAATCCATGTAAAGGTTCCGACAAGAAGACTCAAACACGCGGAAGATGAGAACCCAATCGAGGTAGCAAGTCCTTTGTAGATGCATAAACCTTTATTGATAAAAAATGTTCTAGGCGGTATCATGACCCAAGATGTAACTGATTTCTTTTAACGCTGACTAGTCCAGCCACTAATTAAATATTTGATCTATGCTTAATGGGTTTAATTGAATGAGATTGTATGATTTTTAATAGATAATTTTTCAAATGATATGAAATTAATGTTAATAATTGTTTAATATATTTGGAGGTTAGTTGATTTATTTTGATGATTTCTACTTTCGTTACTTCAGCTTTTAAAATATCAGGTGACTTTTCATTAGGATTAATCCACTTTGATAGGAGATCAGTGAGTAGATCCTGGTTCCCTGGGTTGCGTTGAATCTTTAAAAAAATTTAAATGTTATAATTTTTGTCTTAAATTTAAAAAGATACTTCACTATCATCTCTTCCCCATCTCCATACTAACCATTTACTCAGTTTATTATCGGCTGTGAATTATAGTGGGCTAATAAATACTTAGCCCCTATTCCTTGAGCAAAATCTCAATCTAATCATACTCTGGCTAGTTATTAGTGATCTTGAAATTTCTTTGTATTGAATGGTAACATGTATCCCTACGCTGACGTTTTAAAAGTGAGAATCATACCAACTTATGTAAAAGATCCCATAAATTTAAGAAGAAAAACAACTGTCTGTTTGGGGCAGCTGCAACTTATTGAATAATATGTTGATAAGCTAATTAAAAATAATTTACTAATAAGCTAGGTGCGGTGGCTATTACGATATTTTTATTTTTTTTTAGAAAAGTCAGACCGCTGCCAGAAAGCTGCCACCGCATTTAGATAGGTGCGGTGTGAAAACGCTGTTTTCAGCTTTTTGAAAACGCAAAGCTACCAAAACGCAGTTTACCCAAACAGGCTAGGTGCATTTTCAAAACCCCTCCACACCAAATAAACTGCAACAAACGGGCCGTATCTACCATTTGATGACAAGTCATCATGGATGTATGTTACTTCCTTGTCCCTCTTAATGCATTAATGAAGATTAAGTTGTCCTAGATGTATATTGGCTTCACACATTAAGATAATGATAACTTAAGCCCACACTACAAAAAAAAACTCGAAAGATTTCTTCAAAAGATGTGAGCAGTGTCATGAGTGACAATCCTCTCACAACATTTAGTCGATCATAAGCTCTAATCATTTGAGGACTAAACTTCCTTAGTTCTTTTCCTACTTCTAAAGGCTAGAAAAAGTTCATTTTGGTGGTGGTTGACTTTTTTCCAAGTGAATCGAACTGAGGGCTTTATTAAAAATTGCAGTGGAAGTTGTGCATAATTTAATTTGGATAGATATCATTTATAGATATGAATTAACTATTTCATAATCACAAAATTAACAACTAATTCTTTGATAAGAATGCCAAAGATTTTAGTCAAAGAAAGGAATTCACCTAAATCCATCATCCGAGAATGAACAACTGGCTGAAAGCAACAAACAAGCTAATCCTCAATCTCCTCAGAAATAAGGTTGAAGACACTAAAAAAAAGTGGATTAATATACTCTCATCCTATTATGGGCATGAAGGATAATTCCATTAATAGTAAGAATTCAAATGAATTTTGTCCTCTCCTATGGTTCCAAAGCAATGCTCTCTATGAGGTACAATCAACATTACTAAAGAGTACTCACTGCATTGAATTACGAAGAGATGTAGCTCACTAAATAGCAAATTAATAATGATTAAGGCATTTAAAAATCACTGAATCCCCTAGAGAATTATGAGCTCATGCAACCATGAAGTAAGAGTGTAGACCAAGTGAAGATTCAGAAAGTAATACAACTCACATGCAGAAGAGAAAAATTTCAAGTGTGGCAACTTGGTGTTAAAGAAGCGATACCTCATAGCATGCAATCAAACAGTAAAAAAATCTAACCAAACATGGGTAGGATCCTAGATTATTCTAGAATAAGCTTGAATGCTAAAGACCCACATTGAAAATGAAGTCTCCATAACCTATAATGGAGATAATAACTTCTTTACCCTTAAAATATTTATTAAATCATCTAGTTTATTTCAAAAGCTTGAGAAATTGTCCATACAAACTCAACTATAAAATAGTCAATTTTTTGTATATTCTTAATTTTCCTTAAAAAACTTCCCCTTCATTATTATATGAAAAGTATGGTCAAGTAAAAAATACTGAGCTACAAAGTTGAATGGTTAATTTCGGAGGGAAAACTAAAAGCTCTCAGGTATAAACTCTTGTAGGAGATGCTCAGGAAGCCATCAGAAAGAAATAATGGTAGGAGAACCAGATGTCCTAAAGGCAAATGAAATACATTGTCTAGCAAAGTTCTTAAGTCTATCTATTCTTAAAATTAATACAAGGGAAAACTATATAGAAGAAAATTTTGAGGGAACTTACTAGCATCTAAGCTTAACCCAGCTGTATGAATTTCTAAATACACTATTCATCTATAAAAAATAATTATCATAAAGAAGAACATGCGAATAATATTTTAAACTATAAGCTCATTTTCATTATGCTCAACATTTAAGAGATTTGCAAAGACACACTCATATCAACGAGCCAAGAATTTGACTACGTAATGAGTATACCAAATAATACCACATACAAATAAAGTGCAATATGTTAAAAGAATAAAAATGCAAGCAAGTTCATTTATTTCCACAAAACAACAAATACAATAATTCAAGTATAAAAGAAAAAAATTGAAAAAGTGTGCATAAATTAATTTTTTATTAATGTCTTTAGTATATCATATTACACAGATGATACGGCTTGAAGCCTTGAGCATAAAAACTACTCCAACTCTCATAACATGGATAAAAAATGCATAATTGACTTTAGCGCTTAATCTTTCATTAGCATAGAGAAGGCCAAAAACTCACTTCTATCAAGTCATATCAGATGGAAGAGTTCAAGTGCTCTCATACAACAATGAAAAAAGAAATAAAAATAAAGTTTGGGTTAAAATCACTCTCTTAAAAATTGTATCACTCACACATAAGAGAGAGTTAGCTACAAAAATGCAATTTTCCTTGTCCCTCTTAATGCATTAATGAAGATTAAGTTGTCCTAGATGTATATTGGCTTCACACATTAAGATAATGATAACTTAAGCCCACACTACAAAAAAAAACTCGAAAGATTTCTTCAAAAGATGTGAGCAGTGTCATGAGTGACAATCCTCTCACAACATTTAGTCGATCATAAGCTCTAATCATTTGAGGACTAAACTTCCTTAGTTCTTTTCCTACTTCTAAAGGCTAGAAAAAGTTCATTTTGGTGGTGGTTGACTTTTTTCCAAGTGAATCGAACTGAGGGCTTTATTAAAAATTGCAGTGGAAGTTGTGCATAATTTAATTTGGATAGATATCATTTATAGATATGAATTAACTATTTCATAATCACAAAATTAACAACTAATTCTTTGATAAGAATGCCAAAGATTTTAGTCAAAGAAAGGAATTCACCTAAATCCATCATCCGAGAATGAACAACTGGCTGAAAGCAACAAACAAGCTAATCCTCAATCTCCTCAGAAATAAGGTTGAAGACACTAAAAAAAAGTGGATTAATATACTCTCATCCTATTATGGGCATGAAGGATAATTCCATTAATAGTAAGAATTCAAATGAATTTTGTCCTCTCCTATGGTTCCAAAGCAATGCTCTCTATGAGGTACAATCAACATTACTAAAGAGTACTCACTGCATTGAATTACGAAGAGATGTAGCTCACTAAATAGCAAATTAATAATGATTAAGGCATTTAAAAATCACTGAATCCCCTAGAGAATTATGAGCTCATGCAACCATGAAGTAAGAGTGTAGACCAAGTGAAGATTCAGAAAGTAATACAACTCACATGCAGAAGAGAAAAATTTCAAGTGTGGCAACTTGGTGTTAAAGAAGCGATACCTCATAGCATGCAATCAAACAGTAAAAAAATCTAACCAAACATGGGTAGGATCCTAGATTATTCTAGAATAAGCTTGAATGCTAAAGACCCACATTGAAAATGAAGTCTCCATAACCTATAATGGAGATAATAACTTCTTTACCCTTAAAATATTTATTAAATCATCTAGTTTATTTCAAAAGCTTGAGAAATTGTCCATACAAACTCAACTATAAAATAGTCAATTTTTTGTATATTCTTAATTTTCCTTAAAAAACTTCCCCTTCATTATTATATGAAAAGTATGGTCAAGTAAAAAATACTGAGCTACAAAGTTGAATGGTTAATTTCGGAGGGAAAACTAAAAGCTCTCAGGTATAAACTCTTGTAGGAGATGCTCAGGAAGCCATCAGAAAGAAATAATGGTAGGAGAACCAGATGTCCTAAAGGCAAATGAAATACATTGTCTAGC